AAATATCATGATTTTAAAAATTTATTTGTTAATTCAAAACATGTCTCGAATTGGAATTTTTTTTCTTAAAATGGCAAAGAAAGAAAAATAAAAAAGGAAAAGGAAAAATAAAATAAAAATAAAAGGAAAAACAGAAAATAAAAGGAGAAAATAAAGGAAGGAAGAAAAACAAAAAAAGGAATATGGAGTCTGGTGTACAAGCCTACTTGGACCGGCCCAATATGAAACACCACGAATGCGGGGTATGCGTTTGGTCGCTATCATGGGACCTATGCGCAAAATAGGAGATGCCGAATAGAAGGCACGGGAGAGGATAGTACGAGTGATGGTGTGCTTCTAGGGAAATGTCTTTTTGACCAAAACTGTTGAAATAATTTGACCGAAACACAAAATTTTAGTATATACTGCAATTACTGAAATTGCCAAAAATTCACTAAAAATAATTTCCATACTGCATACAACATTGCTCGCTGATTGAAGGAATCCGCTTTTGTGAACCAACTAAACCTATTCAGGATCATGCTTGTACTAACCAAAGGTGTAACTTAATCAGAAGCTACTTATAGAAGGCTCGACAATCAAACGGGCTAAGAACAATCATTCAAACATATTTGTAAATTTGTGGAGAAAATGAGCTCCATGTAGCCCGAGCACCAAAAGGCATTTCTGTAGTTGTTTGTAAATTATACGACAAAAACTATACATTGTAAATTTTATTTCGAACACTACTCTAACAGAGGTATACTTTTTTGTTACGTCGTTACATGTAACTTATATCTTGCTAGTCAAATTTATAGTTAAAATTTTGTATAAAAAAATACGAGGGGGGCACAAAAACCGGAATCAAGTGAGTATTCATATTTTTGTGCGAAAAAACATCACTAGTATATGGTGCATGTATTTATATTTTGTTGGCTTATCTGCAAAAAAATGCATACTATATATATAGCAAAGTTAATTACTGGCTACTACTTTTTTTTGCGGAAAAACTTCCAATCTATTCATCTTCAATCATGGCAGTACAAGGAATATCAGAAATAAAAATTACATCCAGATTCATAGACCACCTAGCGACGACTACAAGCACCGAAACGAGCCGAAGGTGCGCTGCCGTCATCGCCCCTCCATCGCCGGAGCCGGGCACAACTTGTTATAGTAGACAGTCGGGAAGTCGTCGTGGTAAGAGCCCATAAGATCAGCACCCCAGAACAGCAACCGCCGCCGATGAAAAATAACATAGATCGGAAGGATCCAAGCCGAAGACACATGAACGTAGACGAACAACGACGAGATCCGAGCAAATCCACCAAAGATAGATCTGCCGGAGACACACCTCCACACGCCCACCAATGATGCTAGGCGCACCACCGGAATGGGGGCTAGATGGGGAGACCTTTATTCCATCTTCAGAAAGCCGCCGCCATCTTGCCTTCCTGAGTAGGATACAAACCCTAACAAGATTGAAAAAACGACTAAAAACATGGCCCTCCCGCCGGCCCTTACAAGGATCCACCGCGCCTCCATGGCCCTAAGACCACTGGAGACGAGGCGGGCTACTACTAGATATAAATATTATACAAAAGAAAGTATAAAGGGGGTTACTTGGTAAAAGATATATAAATATGATGTGGCAGAACACACACAAAAAGGTGCACAGGCATCTACAGCGCCGGGCCGAGGTTCCTGCCGAGCTCGTGCAACGGAAAGATCGCCACGGCGAGGTACTTCGCCGTCGGCGCCGCGGCCGTGCTCCCGCTTGACGCCTCCCACGACCTGTCGCCATTCGACGCCGACGGCCATGATAGGTATGTGCATGTGCGGTGGTGTTCAATCAGTGTTCACTGTTCAGTTGGATAGTTTAGCCCTGATTTGAAGGTTCCTGAATTCTAGATCGTGCAGCTACACGATTTCGTTGTGGCTGGCACACACACTATACGACAAGAATACATGCGCATGTGTCCCGCCTCTCTCTCCGGACGTGGTCCCTAACAATCCATATAAAAGAATTAATGCACAGGAAAAGCAGTTGGTCCATGCGCCCACCCATCCTATGCATTTAATTTGTGTTTTCAAAATTTCAAAAAGCTATAACTTTTGAACCGATCATCGAAATTAAGATTTGTTTTCACGGCTAGGTTTTCCATGCCGAGCTCTTTCAAACTAGATCCCATATGAGTATGTTTTGACTAACTTTTTTATGAGCAATTTTGGATAAAACGAAAGCAACTTTAGTGCTATAGGAAAGCAACTTACTGTAAGTCTGTAGGATGACTGTGTATCAACGAAAATTCCTTCGAAATTACCTATCATGACTACCAACTTAACTAGCTTCACCTCTAAGTTTCCTATCATAACTAGTTTAGTTTCGCCTCAAAGTTGATAGTATTGTAGGCAACTTAGTTTCGAGGTAGGCTAACATTTATCCTAAGTTGCCTGCCATGACTAGCGAGTAGCTTAACATCATCCTTAGTTGCATAAAATACTTTTTGGTATGGTTAGCAACTTAGTTTCATCAATATGCAACTTAGCAACACTTATGGACAACTTTTCAATGTATTGTAGGCAACTGAAACAGTAATGGCAGGCAACTACGCATCACGGCTAGGCAACTTCAGAGTGTTTGTAGGCAACCTAGAAAAACAATGATAAACAACGTCACAATATTTGTAGGCAACTAATTTGAAAAGTTAGGCAACTGATTAGCAATGGTAGGCAAATGTGCATCAATAGTAGGCAATTTATAGTATTTATAGGCAACTGAGCAGCAATGATAGGCAACTAATTACCAATAGCAGGCAACTGGGCATCAATGGTAGGCAATTGCATGGTATTTATAGGAACTGTGCATCAACCATGGGCAATTGAGCAGCCATGATAGGCAAGTTATGATAATGTTACCAAAATTCACATGTACACATAGTCCAGTAAAGTTGCTTGCATTTAGCACTAAAGTTGCCTCATGTTTCGTATGTGTTTCTCGGCTTGACACAAACCAACCTAATAGACGATCCTACTAGGACAAAAATAATGAGTTTGCCTCCCTATAGTATACTTAGAGCTGAATCTAGTCTATTGGTAGTCATGGTAAGAAACTTTAAAGGACTCCTCACTGACAGGTTGTCATACTAGGAAATAAAAAGAAGTTGCTTTCTTATAGCACTAAAGTTGTCTGTGTAGCATCCAAAGTTGCTCTAAATTTTTTTTGTCGAAACCTACTCATACGGGATGTTGTTTTGAAGAACTTGTCGTGACAAACCTAACGGTGAAAACGGAACTGGAATTCGATGTCTGAATCAAAAGATATGGCTTTTAAGACTTTTGAACCCCAAATAAATGAACGTGCGGAGAATATCTAGGTTGATTCCATCAATAGGCATGTGCGCTACGGGATGTGGCAAAACAGGTTCCTTTTTTTAGTATATACAGCTGAACAAGTACATATACTTACTATATATGGGAGTGCGCTCCCAACGACGAACGAGCGCAGCGGCACTCCCTAGGCACGTCCTTGAAGGTTTTCATGCACCCAAAAGACCAAATGTCCGCCTTGTTTTTTTTAGCTCTTCTTTCTCTTTTCTGAAGTCTCAAAATTCTGGAAGTTCAAAATATATGGATATCGAAATTCCATAACTTAAAACTTTCAAAAAGAGAATGTAACTCCGAAAGTTTTGACAATCACGGAAGTTCAAATTCTAAAAGCTATGGCAAGAATTTTCTGAAAGCGGGTGCTGCATTTTCTGAAAGTGTCAAAATGAAACTTGACATGATGATTGGAATTGAGGCAGCATCAAGTAATTTACCTTGCACTTATGCCATTGTACCGTCGAATTGATTGATGGGCGCCCGCCAGATAGCCCTGCCCCCCATGGAGCATTGTCCAATAGCAATAGGCGGCACTGGCTTTTAGAGTCTTGCCTTTTACTCCGATGTTATGGAACTGTGCTAAATGTTGGTGGTATGGAAAAAATTGTGTGCAAGAAAAACTACTCCGATGTTATGTTTTGATCCTTCATCTTGATTAAACTTGCATTCATGATTTCTCGAGATTAATACAATGACATAAGTGGTCTGGATTATTAATACAATGACATATAGTCAAAATCAGAACTGTAATCTACATAAATATCAAGTGCAGCTTGAATTTTATTCACCACTACAATGTAGCAATTTACCAAAACAATTTGGAATAACCACATTTTGTTTTCGCTACGATATACTCAGATTAGCCGTGTACAAGGCAATGTACGCGGCAGGGGGGACTACCGCCGATCTCATTTCTGCCATTGATCAAGTAAAGATATGCACATTTTTCTTGTAATAATCAAACGAAGAAGTAGGAACATGTACGATTTTTTTAAAAGAAATGATATTTTTGCTCTTGAATTCATAGGCAGTGCAAGATGAGGTGGACGTGCTGGTGTTGTCCATCGGGCCAGACGCGCGCCCACCGACCAAGGTCACCTTCCTCGGCATGCTCGACGTGGCTCTCCTGTTCGCGAGGAGGGCCGGCGTGTTCGTGGCTCAGTACGGTGACTTTGCCATGCAGCCCATCCCCTTCTCCGTCCCCGGCATCATGGTCCCCCGCGTCGCCGACGGCCAGGTGGTGTGGTCCTACTACAAAGAGCGAACAACGTTCTAGGGCCTAGCCATGGCGGCGATCACCGAAGGGAGAGCCGCAGCGTTCGTGGACGCGGCGCCGGCTGTGGCACGATACTCGTCGTGGGGGCCGGACGTGGTCGTCCACGCCCGCGGACGTGCTCAAGCCAGACGTGCTCGCGCCCGGCAACCAGATATGGGCGGCCTGGAGCGCGCTGAGCGCCAACGAGCCCATGCTCGCCGGCGACCATTTCGCGATGATATCCGGCAGCAGCATGGCGGCACCGCACGTCGGTGGCGTCACGGCGCTCATCAAGCAGCGGCACCCATCGTGGGGGCCGTCGACCATCGCCTCCGTCCTGTCGACCACTGCACTGAGGCATGACAACGGCGGGAGACCCATCATGGCGGAGGGCTTCCAACTTGGCATGTCACAGCCGGCAACGCCGTTCGATTGCGGCGCAGGGTTCATCAACCCTACCGGCGCAATGGACCCCGGGCTCGTTCTCGAGTCCGGGTTTGATGACTACATCAGCTTCCTCTGCTCGTTGCCGCAGCTCGGCCCGACGACGTCTCAGGAGCCACCGGAGCGGCATGCCAGTCGCCGCTAGATTCTCTGGCGGACCTCAACCTGCCGTCCATCACTGTCTCTGCGCTACAAGGTTCTCTGACGGTCCGGCGTAGGGTGAGGAATGTGGCCAGCAATGCCGAGAGATACCTCTGCGCTGCCCTACCACCGGACGGAGTAGCCGTCGTCGGGGTGGTTCGACATTGCTCCCGAGACACAGGAGCTTGTGATTGAGATGAATGTGAGCAGGGCGTCAGGGGCTTTCAGCTTCGGAGAGATTGTCCTTACTGGCACAGCCTACATCACCTGGTCAGGCTGCCTCTGGCAGTCCGAGCGCTTTCAACCACATGATCAAGTGTACAAATGGAAATGGCTGATGCTTAATTAAACTGGTACACCTATTTACCTTTTCAGAACAAATAATTAACCTGGCTGAAAAGTCATTACTACTGTTAGATAATCAGGAACAACATCTAGAGGCTTTGTACTCCCTCCGTTCCAAAATATAAGTCTTTATAGAGATTCCACTATGGACTACGGACCAAAATGAGTGAATCTACACTCTAAAATGCATCTACATACATTCGTATGTGGTCTATAGTGAAATCTCTACAAAGACTTATATTTTGGAACGGAGGGAGTATATTTTACTAATTTACAAGTTACAGGTAGTACATCATCCTGAAAACGGAGAATATGTTTACATGGCACCATAAATCTCTAAATCTCTTCTCCATGTATTTTTACTAGCCATTTCTAGTTCTGAATGAAAAGGATAGACAGAGGACGGGCCTTCATCATCTAAATCTCTTTTCCATGTCCCTTGACAACCTCGCCAAGGATGAAGTTCCGCCTTGCCCAAGTATCCGAGATTACACCGGCATTTGCAGCACAAGATATAGTTGACACCTACACAGACCACCTAAAAAATAAAATGCAAATTCTGCGTCTCATGATTATGATTTGGCAGTAGATAGCTTGCACAGTATGGCAGCAACCATTTCCGCTAAAGGCCTCGAGTTGCTGAACAAAAAGCATACGAGTTCATATCTCGTGTTTCAACACTAATTTGAGACTCAGACTCATCGGGCAATGCCACATCTTAGATAGCTTGTTACCATAACAAAGACACCTTTGTTACCATAACAAAGATCAGGACAAAAGGAAAAAAGGAAACTCTGCATCTTATGAGTTGGCAGTAACCATTTCAACTAAAAGCTTCAATTTTTTGAAAAGAAAAAACAGATCAATTCATATCCTGTATCTCAACGCTCATTTGATATTCAGACTCTTAGGACCGGGCCTTCAATTATACAATAGCTTCTTATCTTACAGAAAATAGGCCAGACCATCCAATATACATATCCTGACATCCATATTAACACACTGATACTATATCAAGATGCAACAATTCATACAATTTGGAGAAACTGAGCAGGCAATAGGAGTACCTGTTATGAATTGTAGTAACACATCAGTTGCGACTGAAGGAAATAGGAATCCTTATATTTTCTGCCACTCCCGACATGAATGCCATTTTTAATCCAATCTTCTCTATGGATCCAAGCATCCCGGGTAGTATCAAGGACGCCCAAAATCTGCCCGAGCGTAAAGTAGGATTTAGGGACCCGAAACATTGGAGCACAAGACAGCACAGATATAAAGGAATGAGCAAGACACACCACCTTCAACAGATGATAGCCAAATTCAAAATAGATACTACTTACCACTCCACCTTTCCATGGGATAAACAATGGATTCCTCCTTGACTGTAATACCTATGAATTTAAAATGAGAGGTTAAGCCAAGACCAATAAATCACGAGTCTAAATTATGGTATAATGTAAAACTGAGATATAAACCTCACACAATCAATCCAGGTATGTTAATTTCAAGAAATGGAGTGTGCATTCTAATTTATGAAAAAGATACAGATGCATATCCTTGCAAGAAGACATACCTCAACTTTCTCAACGGGTTGATTCGATGGAATAGTATTAAGAACCCTGATAAAAAAGAAAACAAAATTGATCAATAAATTTATTGTTGATTTCCAAGATATTATGTTAAAAAAAAGTCAAGTTTCATTAGTATTTTCTCCCGAGAAAACACAGGGGCCACATCAGCAATTTTTATTGTAGCAGCTCTGTGCTATTCATTTTTACAAAAATTCTTTCAACAAACACTTGTTAATAATAAATAGTAAACATAAAAAGGTTCAGAACAGTTGCTTGGCAAACATGTAGCTTAGGGTGGAATATTTCTATTCGTTAGCGCAAGTATTCCAGTAGTCTTCCGTTAAATATTGCCAGAAGGTAACAATCAACCTTTGTTCGAGAACTGGTGCAAGACCTGTCGTTGAAGCTGCGCCACCAACCTGCAAAGATCATTCCTCTCAGCTATTGCTTCTTGCGTAATAGAGCAATACTGATATGAAAAACGAGACTGATACTTTACCAGCTGAATACTACAGAATAGCTTCCTTTGGAGGTCAACACGTCCTGTTGTAGGAAGTTGTTAGAAAAGATTCTCTCTCAGGGAAGCGAGATACAGAAGTAAGAAAGAGACTACCTGTTGAAAGAACACTGCTGACAATGGCTTCTACGAGGCCGATATTATCAAACTTCTTTACTCTAGTGGGAAGCATTTGATAACTGTCCCATGCACCAAGCCCACCATTTCCAGAAAGACCGTCGTTTGTTTGCCAAGTATCTTCCAGCATGTCATCACAATCGTGGAACCTGCAAACATACACATCTTGTCTGAAGAAATCATCGTATCAAAGGGCACAATCACCAAAGTAGAGAACAAAGTCTCACCAAGGTCGGGGAGGTGGAGGGAACTCTTCTGGAATGAGAAGCCGGGGATAAAGAAGCCCCATAGGAGGAACCTATTTTATCACAACAAATTCGAATTTGTAGATATATGATCTAGTAGGAAACACTTTTAAGTATAAATATAATTACTCTCCAACTACAACTCAACCATCACCACAGATTTCACAAATAGAGAGTGAAGGAGCGAAGGAGGGAGCGAGAGTGCCTGCATGGCTTTCTTTTTTTTAAAAAAAAGGGCAGCCCGGTGCATGTAGCTCCCGCTTGCGCAGGGTCGGGGAAGGGTCCGACCACTTTGGGTCTATAGTACGCAGCCTTTCCCTACATTTCTGTAAGAGGCTGTTTCCAGGACTTGAACCCGTGACCTCATGGTCACAAGGCAGCAGCTTTACCACTGCGCCAAGGCTCCCCTTCCATGGCTTTCTTTTTGATAAGAAGAAATAAATACAAAAACATTGTGCACTTTTTCAAAACAAACCCTCAGCAAAAAAAACAGACAAAAGGAGAAGAGAATAAGTGGTTTAAAAAAATTACACTGAGAGCTGACAGCCTTGTCTTCTGATGCCCAACAGACTTTTCATGCTCATATGAATGAACAACAGAAACAGCATCATAACTTCCGCTCTGTGGAAAACAAATACTAGAATAAGTTCAAGGGAAGCGTTAAGAATAGAATATCATTTCAGTTTAAGAATTAAGAAAATCAAAGTTCAGAGGAGGAGGTTGGGTGTTATGGGTTCAAGCATCCACTGAAAGACTGCAGTTCTTTCTGGTTTCTACATATACTAGTTTTGTCCATTTTGTTCAACAATTTGCACACAAACTTTGTTAATATATAATATGTCAATATATGAAGTTCAAGTTTACAACGAATTCATGTCTGTGTTGATAGATGATTGTATTTCATGACTAAGAGGACAACAAGTTAAGGATCTGAAAATGTAAGCGTAGCAACACCAAAAACAAATGCACTACGAGCAGCACTTAGGCAAATAGGATAGCTCCAAACCAGATCTCTTTGTCTTCCTAGAGGATTCAGTAACTTACACTGTTACACATACAATAGAGACAGGAGATATGCCCTATGTCATCAGCGCATTAGATTATTCATCTTCCTATGTCCCATGTATGAATGTTTCCACAAGGTCGGCTACTAATTTACTATGCTTTGATGAGATAGGACAGAGCTCACACAAGGAGAGATTTAGAGAAAAGGTTTCAGGTTATGAATGCATTGATTCTAGGACTGCTCTAGTCCCATGCACTGGAGAAAATCTGTATATATGAATTGTGCGAAGGCAGATGCATATATTATTGTGGTTTATCCTCTTTATATACGGTTTCAGGTGAAATTAATATTAATCAATATACAACAATACTATAATGAACTTTGCGCGGACAACAAGTCTTTCTTTCCAACAGGAAAATATTCAAACTGAAACACAAGCAGACTGTCCAACAATTAAATCCTTTACAGATACGAGCTTTCAAGATTTAGTAAAGCTTAGGAGTTAGAATAAGCCACTTACCCTTATCTGGCTATACCCCTCTTTTATCTTGTTGAGCATTAGCATATCTATAGGCTTCTTCATGGGATCGGTTTTAAAGTTTGGCCATGTGCGATGACGTTGTTGAACCCAAAGTAGGCATCTGGATATGTCCTACAAAAGAAAAGAAAAATGGCAGAGGATGTAACAAAAGGAAACATAATGAAAATAATAATATAGAGCACAAGCAATTGACGTTCAAAAGCCATAAAAACAAGTCATGCAGTTATACAAAGTGAAGTGGGAATATGATCATCAGACTATCTAGCATGTAGCCTCAAGGGCGATCCTCCGTAAAAAAAGAGCACTTGATAACTGACAATAATACCATCCAACAATCATGTTATAACTAAGGTGACATCACAATGACTGATATTTACAGAAATATTCCATTGAAGTTGTCCTTGCCTTTTGTTATCAGAAAGGCCCAAAAATCATCGGAAATACTGTCAATGTAATGTTTCAGCCAATTTTCATTTTACAGCCAAATCTACCCCTGACACGAACCCACACTCATATACTCTTCGGGCCTTCCCTCCCTCTCATTGTCACATAAGGATTCAAACCCCCCCATAAACGACTTGTGCCAAGTGCCACTGCCAATGAGCTCTGTTTGTCATGATACTTTCCATGCCTTTGCAATGGCATATTGCTAGATGTTG